GAGTCAGAAAATGAAGTAAATTCTTCGTTTCGTTTCTTAAGTAAAACGAGAAACAATGTTTTCGAATCGTAGATTCTGTCAAGAGAGAGAGAGAGAGAGAAACGATCCAATTTCGATAACAAAAATGATAAATGTTTACACGTGTGAATTTATTACGACGCGAAAACAATGATCCAATTGAAGGAATAAATCTCGAGCGATTGTCCAACGGCTAGTCCAACGTTTTACCATTGACACGGCACTTATGTACGGTTCGTCGGCGAACCGATATCCTTGCCGGTTTTATTTATCGCGCCAGTGAAAGCGAACGTTGACGTGTCACAGCGGCTAGATGAATTATGAATTCTGAAAATAAGCCGGCTGTCCGGGAAATATATCGATCACTGTCAAATCCCTCAGGGTCAATGTTCAAACGGTGCCTCTTACAGCGCGAACACGCGTTTCCACTTACACCCGTATTAATTCGTTCCCCCTATCTGACTTTTTTAAAGCTTTCTTTCAAGAACCTTACGCATTCAAAGATGGTTGGATAGCAATCGAGACCGTATTAGAGTTTCGAATACAATCCGTATTGTCAAGCATTATTGATTTGACAAAGTTTACGACAACCTCTCGGCATTCGGGAGACGTTTATCATACGATCGACCAGTGAAATTTTTAGAATCTAAGCACGTCTTATCTTCCCTATTTCTATAGTTGACAAAAAAAAAGATTAAACGTGCATTTGTTTGAAATCCTGTCCGAATAATAACATTAAAAAACCGGTAACAGCCTATCGTACTTGTGTACAAATTTAGCGACTGTAATATCAGAAATCGTAATAATCTGGATGAATGGAAAGAATGATATTCTTCGAGTCTCGAATACAATCCGTATTGTCAAGCATTATTGATTTGACAAAGTTTACGACAACCTCTCGGCATTCGGGAGACGTTTATCATACGATCGACCAGTGAAATTTTTAGAATCTAAGCACGTCTTATCTTCCCTATTTCTATAGTTGATAAAAAAGATTAAACGTGCGTTTGTTTGAAATCCTGTCCGAATGATAACATTAAAAAACCGGTAACAGCCTATCGTACTTGTGTACAAATCTAGCGACTGTAATATCAGAAATCGTGGAAAGAATGATATTCTTAATTTCAAAGAGAAGAAAGGGAAAGGGATAGTCAGACGAAGGAAACGTTCAAGACCTAACGCAATAAAAGGCTGTTTTAGGAAGTCAGGATTAATCTCGTTTAAATCAACGAATATCAGAGGATCAGTCGACTAATCCAATTCCCCTAGTTATGTGCCCAGAATTTACGCTCCGGACTGTCTACTTCGTATAAACTCATCAACGCCAGTCGCCCCGCTGGTAAGTCGCGTTCCCAGCCAGCAATTATCGCGGGCAGCCACGAGCGCAATCTTTATTTTCCATCTTCGCGACATTCTTCAGGAACCGCGCGATCCTTCGACTCTGAATTTATTTCGCATCAGAATTCAGCGGGAGATACGATCCGCCGTACGTTCCCGAGGTAGCCCGTTAAAATCGCGGAAGAGTTAATTAAAGGCTGCCACACGGCGAGACATATCCAAGCGATCTTCAAGCCGCGTATATCTAATCTCGAGATCTCGAAATAAGACGACCGGACGACTCTCCGCGGCCAGCGAGAGATTAGTTGGACAGCAGCTTCGAGATAAACGTGGAATAACGATCGTTCGGCGATGTCCTTCGTCCAGAGAACATCGAACACGGCAGTTGTACGCGCTTGTAAGTTTCACTGAATTCAACACGCGGACTGCAGACTCTTACCAACTTGAATATCGTTAATTGGTTTTTCAGTGATTCATGAAACGAACGTTCAACGTTTCTAGCAGATCGGGGAGTTTCAAGTTCCTCGAGAACGTTTCGCTGGGGCAAAATTTTTTTTTTATTGATTGGCAATACTAACTTCGAGATGGAGATAAAACGAGGGTACACGCTGAAATGATAACGTTAATAACCTGTCCCATTTGCATTTAGAAATCTCTAATATAAATTATTATGATTGTTACTTTGTTTAATTAATTGATTCCAAAACTACCAGAAAACACATAACCATATTTATCACGGATCTACAAAAGGCTCTTTTCAAGAAACTCCTTCGTTATAGCCCGAGTTTAGCGATTCCGTATAAACGGAGGGAACGTGTGTTTAACGAAGAAGTGCGAGACAGAGAGAGAAAGATGACAAAGGATAGAGGTCTCGGGCTTTTTACGAGTCATAAAGTCACTCGTGCCTCTCGCGAGTCGCTTCCGAAAGAGTAGAGCCTCCGACCCTCTTCTATTCTTTCTACTCTGGCCCTCGACCTTGCGTACCGGCTAACTGATAATAATACTGTTTTTATTGTACGATAACCCTTAAACGCGCCGATAAAACTACGTTATATCGCGTAAAAGAATGAGCCCGTGTCTGGCGTTCACGCTTATGTGTTTTCGAAAGGGAAAGTCGAGAAAACAGGTGAGCACGTCTCCTTTTCACGGTACGTTAAAAAGGGACGTCACGATAGTTTAGACGTTGTAAAAGAAAAAAAAAAAAAAAAAGTTTGGGACTCCTGTGATTTACGTGCTTCATGTTTTTGTTACTATATCGCGGCTTCGGGGTCTGTCGAAATCGTGCAACAAGCTTGTTTTATAGTTGTCGTTCGCCGAAGTTGAAAAGATACCGTGTGTATCCTCCAACAGTAAATCATATCCCTCAGTTACAATTTGAAAGAGCAGACGTTCGATTGCGACAATGTTGAACAAAGATCTCAGATCCTTCTTCTTCGCAAAGTCAAATCACCATCGAAAATTACATTTGAATTTTCGAGTACTCAACAACAGATTTTCACGTTTCCAGCACGTTTTTTCTCTGAAGTCACATAATCTCAATTTCCCTAAATTTCGTCTTTCATCGGCTCTTTCCTCCGTTGCTTTATTTTTTTCACAAAATATCATTCCAAACTATATTTTCTCCAATTTCCTAAAACATCCATCCAATTTTTTCCCCTCCTTCCAGATTGTAAAATGTCCCTTCGAGTCCCACCTTCTACCTTGAAGCATCATTCTCCACCCTCGTTTTCCCCCTCAATCTTCCCACCGGCGTTCACGAAATCGATACTGCTCGCTACATCTGCCGGCGTTCCGTGGAACCATGTTCCGTTCTCCATCAAAACATCCGCCAGCTCGCTCGCTATCCTTGCCACCATTCCGTTGCCGCGGGCGCCGCGATTTATGCGATAGCTTCGTTAATATGTAATGAATATTAATTATTTGTCAACGAAGGAGAACAGAACGATCACAAGAACGGAGGAGGGGATAGAAGGGACAAAGGAGACGGCTGTTATCGTAATTTGTAATCTACCGACGCGAAGCGTATCCATCGAGGTATTCGCCGCGTGTTCTTCGCATCGATACGAGCCATCCTCTTCGTTATATGCATAATGAGCAATCTTCGACGACAATGAAAAATTTTCAGACGGATGAAGGCGATTGGTGTTAGTGGTTCCGTTTCCGATCCTGTAATGATTTTGGTCAGAGAACTTCAACGAAGTTTCCAATCTCCCCACTTTAATAACATCGACTGTATTTATCAGAATATTTCGATGATATTTTTAATAGAATCGCAACTCTTACAAGCAAAGAACTGTCATCGATGAAAACTGTGCTGCTGAATTTTTACAAATGTATCGTACCATTCAACAGTGTGATCCTTCTCAAGAGGTTGAATTTTAAAGCAATGGAATTCACGACAGAAGCCTGATAAAATGACACTTTTCTACACACCCTCCAACTACAACTATTTCGTTAACCAGCTCTTTCTCTCTGGTTGATGCTTGCACGAGAAAAAAAAAAGGAAAATCGAGAAAGAAAGAGAACTGGAGAGAAAAACTCGGCACGCCAATACTCCTGCAGCTCCTAAATACTAATCTCCGTGCCGGAGGCACCACTCGAGGGGAAGAAGCAGTAACGACGCGAGAGAAGATGGCGAAAAGGAGGAAGGAGTGGAAAATGAAGCGGGCGCGGAGCTTCGTAAAGCAAAGCAGTAAGGAAAGAGCAGGATGATGGAAGAGGAGAGGAGAAAAGGCAGCAACAACGGCAGCACGGGGCCAGCAGTTGGTGCTCGGCTGTATTTTAATTATACCGCAGGCTGCGCGAGAGCCTCATCCAATCTCGTTGGCCCTCTCACCGTTCCTTTCTCTCTCCATCTTTCGTTCTCCACCTCTGCGCCCCCGTCGTGGCCTCCGTCGGCCTCTTCTGGTTTCGCAGGCCAGCCGTGGTACACCACCGAAACGCGAACGAACAAAAGCAAAGAGGCATCGAGGACGGCCCACCGCTTTAGCCCCTTCGACCGTGCTTCGTCTCGCTCGTACCCTCTTCGACGTTTCTAGTATTTCCTGCCTCCTTCTACTCTCATAGTCGTGGAACTACGTTCGTTTTTATACGGCTAGAACAGCGAACGAACGGGAAGAAGAGTGGAAGGATGGGTCGTCGAAAGGCTGAACGAAACGAAAGGTAAATTGTCGAGCTCGATGGACGAGTCGGTGATTAGCAGTTTCGATTCTTTCTTTATCATTAAAAGTATCGAGAGGCGAAGAACATTTCGAGATTGTTTCCTTGAGTGGCAGATCTGCGTATTCACATGAAATTTGAGAAAATGAGAAACCAAAGAAACTGAAAATTAAATATTATTAAATATCGAATAAAAAAAAGGAATTCAGAAACTAACGAATGAAATCAATTGAAGACCGAAATACGTCCTACTCGTAAGAATCTGTATTCGATTATTCTTGTGCTTTAGTTTGCATTCCTTTGAAGGAAGCTGCTCTCACAGTGCTCTTTCAATCTACGTTCTCCCGAAAAAAAGGCTACCTCCATAAAAAAAGAGCGAATCCTCCGAAACCAAAAAAAAAAAAAAAAAAAATCATCGAGAATAAATTACTCCATTGCGCAATCCTCCTCCGGAATATATTGCTCGATCAAACGCTTCCCCGAAGGGTCCCTGAATTTTCATCTTCCCAGCCAATGATTTATTACCTTTGCCTAAACGATTCTCGTTATTTAACAGGACACACAGAGTTGAAATCTGGACCAGCAGGACATTCTTGGCCATTCTGCCGCGAGCCTGGTGTATAAATCTTCGTCGAATCGCAGCACGCGCACAGACGCGTTTACGCGCGGGAATGGCGGCGGCGAGACGCAGCGTTCCGCGTGCATGTAAGCGGCCTTATTATTTCACGGTCGGTGCGTACTCGTTATACGCGCTTTACATGGCGGCCTGTTACGTTTACCGGCCAATTTGGTGGCGGGCGGCCTCGTCTTCTGCCATCTGTTCACGGCCACGCAGACAGTTCCGTCCGCGGCGTTACGCTTTAATCCGCGAAACGAGCTCGTTTCGGATAAACGCCTCGTTTAAGTGAAACTCCAACCGAGCCAGTCTTAAGTACTTAGCTCTTGCCCTCTCGAGCCTCTGCCGAGCCAACGCTGTTTCCAAACGTGATTTCCTATTATCCGCAGCGAATCGGAGATACCTCGTCTCATCTTGCTGAGAGTATTTCCCTGAGAGGAGTTTGTTCGCCGAGGCAGTGTCTTTCGAACGAAAATTTGCTAAATCGTGTACGACTGACAGGAGACAATTGAATCGGGTAATTCTTGTAAATGAATTTCAGGCACGGATCAGATATAGAAACACCCGAGACTCGGGCTTGAATGAAATTTCCCGAGGGGAAATCGTTTGTCAAATTTCTTCTTCGCCGTTCTTCGTCTCGTCTGCGTCTTCGTTTTATTTCTTAATTTCTATCAGAACTGTTTCGCTGTACCTTTTGATACCCGATCAGTTCCAAAGAGCGGCTACTTGGAAAAATCGTCACGTCACGTCGACTCGGAGCTCTTAATACGACCGCGGAGGATAGACTTCGGGCGCGAAATGGCGAGCGAGGGGCAATCTTTTTCGCTGTTCCAGCGACGGAAACCCCCGAAATGATATACAGTTGTTTGGCAAGGTGATACGAGGATCCTTTTCAGCCGGTGGTCGTTGCTCGTGTCGTCGGCAGCTCTTTTACAGCGCTCGTGCAACCACGACCGACATCAATCTCGTCATTAGTCTTCCCTTTCCTCGCTCGCTTCTTGCCCGAGTGTCTTCTTGCTAGACTCGCCCACGGTCTTCGAGTTATTGATAATTTGTCACGCGATCTCCGACTGCGAGCCATTCATCCTTCATCCGCGAGCGGACCGTTATTCCACGGCAACTTCTCGCCAGATCGTCGTCGCCAAAGCGACGCTCGCTTCTCCGGTAAGCCATTGTGATCGACGATCGTACGAATGACGGGGCCATCGGAGGCCCAGCTTCCGATCCACAGATTCGTTCGGCGCGTCGTCGTTGCAGTTTCGTCCCTGCTAACGAACACGAGACGACGATATGCTCGAACGAGAGCGACTGATCACAGTGGCTTTTCCAACGAAGATTTAAGGGTTGATCGCCAGCTGGACACGAGTTCGATTATCTCCCGTTTCCTCCTGGGAAAGGAAAAAAGAAAAAAGGAAATCAAGTCGGCGGTGGCATGGTTCGACGGATCGAGAAAAAAAGGAAACAGCCGGTGAACGAGCGAACACGAGGGGAAACGCCTTCTCCGCCCTGAAACGCCTCCTGTCCGTCACGCCGTCATCCCCCTTCTTCTCATTTTATTCCCTAGTCGTGACCCCGACGTTTTTCGTTAACGTTCACCCTCCCAACCACCTACCTAGACATAATTACAATTGACGAAACGCCAGGTTGAAATATTCCTTTTGATCCATCGACGTCTTTCGTTCATTTTTGATCCTCTTCGAGCATCCCCTGTCTCGATCGTTCGCAGACGGAATAATTAAACTTAAAGGTTGTCATGGAGTTTTGCAAATTTCTTCGTTGAGTATAATTTGCATTCCTTTATCAAAGATTATAATTTTTAATTGAGGACACTAGGTTGAAATATTCCTTTTGATCCATCGACATCTTTCGCTCTTCGAACGTCTCCTCCTGTTTCAGCCTTTCGCAGATGGAATAATTAAATTTAAAGGTTGTCATGGAGTTTTGCAAACTTCTTCGTTGAATTTAATTTACATTTCAATTTTTAATTGGAGACGCCAGATTAAAGAATTCCTTTTGACCCATCGACGTCTTTCTCTCATTTTGCTCCTTTTCGAACATCCCCTTAAAAATTTAAAGCTTGTGAGTGTAATTTGCATTCATCAAGGATTTTTAATTGGAAACACCAGGTTGAAAAATTTCTTTCGATCCATCGACGTTTTTTACTTATTTTGTTCCTTTTCAAGCATCTTCTGTCTCCATCGTTCGCTGACGAAATAATTAAATTCAAAGATTATGATGAAATTTTACAAATCTCTTCGTCGAGCGTAATTTGTATTCCTTTATCAAAGATTCCAATTTTTAATTGAAAACGCCAAGTTGAAACATTTATTTCGATCCGTCGACGTCTTTTGCTCGTTTCGCATCTTTTTAAAGATTCGTTGCCTCGGTCGTTCGCAGATGGAACAATTAAAAATGTAAAAATTGTCATGCAGTTTTGCAAATTTATTCGTCCTTCCACTGAAGATTACAATTTTTAATTTAATTTGTTGCTTGAGTGTATTTAATTGATCAAGTGGATGAATGCCGAGACGTATTTTCCTTTCATCTTTTCTCGTCTTTCAAAAATTCAGCCATTGACATTTGTCTTTGCCCGATTACGAAAACGAGTGCTCAACATTGTTTGTACTTTTCATCGTACCATTAAGCCAGTCTTGAATTTCACCTGTAAATTATGTGTATATTCAAGTGTAGATATCCAAGTGATGATATATGGAAGTTTCTGGAAGACTTCACTTTCGAGTTGTTAACGAAAACATCTGATATAAATTTCTTTCTATAGGCATCGCTTTCTATTTTTTCCACATTTTACTCCTGATTTTCCATTATATACTCTACTGCGCTTCATGCTTCGACTTTGTATTATTTAACCTAAGAATTAACAATTTCCACAAACATTTTTAACCTCTCTCTTTTGAATCGAGTTTCACTTTACACCCAGTAAAGTTCCTTCTGAACAGTAAGGCATTCTTCCAAACGGTGAAACATTCTTTGACTTTCCATTCTTCACTATACACTGTCCTAATTTTACCTTGTACTGTAGCTCATTCACAGATAATGAACGATTTTCCACGCGGTTCAGGTGATTGCCCTTCAGCTAGTACCTAGTCAAGAACCAGTTGAAATTATCAACGTGTCAAACACTTGACTCGTTGGTCCCCCGTATCAAAGTGCAAAACGAACGAAAGACAAAATGGTGGTTCGAGGGATAAACCGGCTGCACGTTCGGCCCCCTCGATTCCATGATTTAGGGTATCGTCCCGAAAGTACCACTTTTCTGCCATTCCGCTACCAGCCGATCCCACAAGTCATTTCCACACCTATGTATTAGAAGGCAGCGAGAGAAACGGGCCTTGGCCGACGGTGAAAAAAAAAGGAGAAAGAGAGAGAGAGAGACGAGGGCAAACGGCGCGGTGAACACGGCACGAGCAGACTGTCCGTGAACGGATCACAGCTGTCCACCACGAAATTGCAGCGTGCGAGCAGCTACGAACGTTTTCGACCGTTTAATCGCGATAATAGCAGGCCACGCGACGGAACAAACTTCCCGGCCCCCGAAGATTACGATGTTCTCGCGCCAGCCAGAATAAAAGTCACCGATCGCTACGTTATATCGCCGGTGTCACTTGGAAACGCGCGTGATTACGGCCCTTGTAACGAGGGCTCAGCCCTCTCACGGCCATCGTTCGCCACTGTTCTCCTCCTTTCCTGGGAATCCCTGGCAATTCCCTTCGTTCCTTCCGTCGAAGCTCGATTGATATTATTATAAGTTGCAAGTTACAGGCACCGTGCGATAAATTCTCTCGTGTCTCACGGTAGCAATTTTGCACGATTTGAGAATTATACAGAATATGCAACGAAATAAGCGAATAAATAATGCAATGTCCATAGGATTATAGAGCACACTGTGTAACACTACTTAACATCTTCCGTGAATTTATCGTACTTAAAATTCCCGTTAATTTACATTTACGTACAATTTTCGCGAGATTCCCGTACGACCGATTCCCACGTCCGAACGACGTAAACAAACGTGGCGGACAATTCTAAAAATTCCATCGCCGGGTCTCCTGACGAAGTAGAAAGCTCGACTAATGATCCGGCTCCTCTTTCGAGCTGCACTCTCTTCGACCAGAAAGACGAAGAAAAAGAAAAAGAAGAAAAAGAAGAAGAAGAAGAAGAGATGAAAGAAAAGGGAAAAAACGCGTCGGGGGATCGGTTTCTTCTCGGCGCGAGACCGCGGATGATCAAGTCGCTCTCGATGGTCGGCGGGGTGATCAAAGATCCTAGGCTGAGCCCTTACGAGAACTGTCCGAGAAACGAACTAAAAGAAGCCACCAAGAGGAAGAAGAAGAAGAAGCAGCAGCAGAAGAAGAAGAAGAAGAAGAAGAAGAAGAAGAGAAAGAAAAAAAAAAGGACGGAGAAAAATCGAAAAAAATATTGCGGGTGTCGGGCCTAGTCGACTGAGAAAGAGACTGCGGCTTCGAGAGGGGAAAGAAAGCGAGAGAAAACCTGCAGGTCACCCGGAGGGTGAGGCGACAACCCGTGACCAATCTGACACTAAATCAACTGACGTGCGCTCCGTGCTCCGATCACGTGCACGTGTACCAAGCGCGAGGCTGTGTAAACGATGCACCGTTGTCCACGATACGGACGATTTTAGGAATGGCCACGATCCAATGTCGGCGCAACCATGAATTCACGCGGGTCTTGGTTAATTGATTCCGACGTTACGTAAGGATACGGTTCGTTTACGAGGCTTTTGAGGCTCCGGAGAGTTCACGTAGCATCGGACAAAAACTTCGTTTCATTCGAGGAATCAACACAATCGAGAGACGTGTGAGAAGAAAGTTCCATTTTCTAGCGATTCGAACTTGCTACGAAATTCTGTGGGAGGAGTTGAAGGACATTTTTTTGTACGAGAAGATTTCATTTCAGGATGAGATGGAGATTTTTAATCGCGAACGAGCAACAAATCGGCTGGATCTTCGACCGAAATTTCGTCCAGGTACGTCGCTAACGAGCCACTGTGTGTAACAGATGTTTCCAGAATGGAAAACACCGGCCCCGCGTCCCTTTTTATTATTCCTCGTGCGATTCCGTGCGTGCGCCGCGCGGAATATTACCGCGCTTTAAATATTTGCCCGCACGTTTTTCTTCCTTTTTTTTCTTTCCTCTTTCGAGGTTTCTCGCTCAGACGGAATAATAACCTCGAGTATCAGGCCGTTTCG